GGCGTGGCCCACGCGCCGTAGTGCCATAAATGGCATGGCGACGGTGACTCGCCCACATACGCGCGGCAGAGGTGACACGCACTGGGCCGGTAACAGCACAGAGGTGCTGCGGATCAGCGCGGAAGCGACGACAGCGACAGCATCACGACGCGAGTAGCATTAGCAGTGCGGACGTGATGACAGCGCAGCGTGGCCGCGGCGGCACCCAAGACGGCAGCGCGAGGCAGAGCAGCAGGGTGCGGGGCCAGCGGCTCACTGCGGCCGGCCTCGGCCAAGCCCAGGCGGCTTGACCTACCAAGCGTGGCAGCATGGTTGACTGTGTGGGAAGTGGCCATGTGCGCAGCATGAGAAGGCCGCGCGGTGACCGCGCACCCAGCGCTAACCAATCCAAGACAGTGACACGCACAAATTTTAAAACGTTCAAGATGGCACATGAGACTACCAAATCGAGCTATAACACTGCACCACCCTTTAACCCAATCTCTCACAATAAATTGCTAAATATAGCAGTGTCTAACTGTTGACAGACTTAAAAAATTCTAAGTTTTTTTAGTTCAATTTGATTTCCATTTGCGATTTCTAACCTAGTGGAAATATTAGCTAGTAATATCATTTTTCGACAGCAAGTATTTCACTGTCATCTACAAAGTTTATACTTCCAACTTTATTTAAGTATCACATACATGTTCTATAGCATTTTTGTTTAACAAAATTTGGTTTTCAACCTTAAGTGATATAACATGACTTATTGAATTAACTTTCGTTTTGTATTTTTGTTGATCGTTTTGAGTTACAGAAATTGATCTACACACTTTATTACATGCATTAACATATAAACATGATGCTCATGACATGTTTTAGTACATGATTTACTATGTAACACCGAGGGTGTTACAAGCCCCCAATTACAAAAGATGACGGTATCGAACTCAAAGGAGGTTTAAATTCTTCTATATTTCGAATTTGAGTATAGGAATACCATACTATAAAGGGGGCATAATAAACTTGCTAAAGTGTGCAACCAAGATCTCAATCTTATACTCATACATCCTCATATTGCTCAGCCAAGACAGCCATCTATTCATTTTTTACCTTTGCTGTCTTGCCTGGTGCGGCAGTGCTGCACATGAAGAGAGGCACTGCCGCAGTGCGGCACTACCGTAGTTGAGTCATGGCACTACCGTGACTTAACTGACCGTTGGGGGTGAGGGGTATGTATACCTCTCACACTCCCCTCCAAGGCTCTTCTTCCACCTCTGCTTGCTCAGTTCGACCACAACAAACTTATGCTCACTCTCTCTCTTCTCCATCGGTGACCTTAAGCTCCTAAGCATTCCTGATTTTCCTATCAATCCTTGAGAGAAAAGTCTCTAAAACCCCATTAGAGAGCAGATCCACTGATTCCCAAACTCTAAGAGCACTTGGTTCGCGTTTCAGCCGATAAATTGTGTTTGTTACTCTTGGAGCTTGCTCCTAGCCAGCTAGAGCATCACCCGTGGAGCTTGCCAACTTGTGTGACAGCTCCGGGAGGTTTGTAACCATCTCTTGAAGGTAGTAAACTCACCACTCATCTCAAGATTAAGTCTCTTGACTTGAGAACGATGAAGGGTTGCAAAGCCATAAGCCTTAGTGGCTAACCTCTATAATGTGGACTTAGACAAGTCTTAGTGGCGAGCTGAACCATAGGATAAATCATCGTGTCACCATGTGCTTGATTTACTTCACTTGCATTTCATATTGTTGTTGAGGTGGCTTCTAGGGTTTCTAGCCGATCTACTTGTGTGAGCTACTACTACTACTTCTAATTGTCGATCTGTGAACTATACACGTGCAGGAAGCTCAGTAATTTCTCCGATCTAAGTTTCAATTCATAGATTTTGAACTGTGGTTCAAAGTTGTTTGCAGGTGCGGCAATGCCGTTGTTCTGGCCCGGTAGTGCCGCAGCCCTGCAGTGCCGCGGCCTCAGAGCGGCAGTGCCACGGGTGAAATTTGACGTTTGGTTAAGTTTTGTTTTAATAGGCCTATTCACCCTCTGTCTAGGCTAACCAGAGATCCTACAACAACCTATGTAAATTATGTTATGGTTACTAATAAGGTTTTAATAAATCTATTAGTATCATTAGTATATGAGTTGTTAAGTAAACATGTTTTTATGAAACATAACACATATTTATTGTTCATGCATGCTGACACAACATGTATGCTTACATTAACCAAATCTTAATATATTAATATTGAGAAGTGGATAGTGTATAAACATATACATACTCTATGGTTCTTTAAACAATTTTTTAATAGAAGATATTGATTATCTTATAGATGTAGATTTGAGAGGATATTTATTTTTTAATAATGAGATGAAAATTGGGTTACATAAATTATCTATTGTAATAAGAGTACATAGGTAATTAGATGTAGATTTAAGTCTACTTTAGATCACTTTTGTTAATGGCATATTGGGTAATTTAAATATATAGAGTCATGAATTATATTATTTTTTTATGCAATAGCAGAGGTGTGTAATTATTTAGAAAATAGAATAGATCCAATAGTTATTATTATCAAATATTTCAGATTTTTGTGAGAATTTCTAGGACCTATCTTTTGTTTTCCTATTGTGTCTCGTGAGGATTAACATGAGTCTCGGATTAACTAGCCTTTCTAGTATTTATCTTTTGTTAGCGTGATATGTATTTAGTTGAAAACTAATAATCTTAGGATATATAAACTTTGTTGCATCCATTCTATGACTTCACGAATTATAGTTATCTTTCGACTTTTAATCAAGTTATACAATTTTTACTACATGTTAAGTAGAAACTCTAGTGTTTTTTTTTTAATTTTTTTATTAAAAATTATTTCTTACTAAAAAAGAGTTTAGGTTCTAGTATAATTGTTTTTCACATGTTAATTAAGTTGAAACTCCAGATTGGACCCTAGCACCGAACTTGTTGAATTGATATATTATTGAATTATATGTGTAATATTGTTTTATATATCATGTATAGTGCAGTATTAATTAAAATGTATAAAGTTATTTAAAATAACAACTTATGAAATTGATTATTAATATAATTTAATGTGAATTGTGAGTGTTATGTTATTGCTATGTGGTTTGTTAACTAAGCATTTTTCATGATTATAAGCTACTAAAATAAATATTTATCCTAATATACACGTGTTTACTTGGTATACATGGTCAAACATAACACTATGGTTATTTAATTTCACAGTTATAGAAGTTTGTAATTTATAAATATTTGTCTTGTACTTTAGGGATATTATTTTTTTGTAATAGCATATATTAGTATTTACATATAGATTTGAGATAGGTGGGTAATTTGCAAGCAATATGAGGGGGTTATTATGAATTATGTTTCATAATGGCAAAGTGGGTAATTTGGATACAAATTTAGGGGGTTATTTTGATTTATTTTTCATAATGACAAGTGTGGGTAACTTATATACAAATTTAGGGGGCTATTTTGAATTATCTTCTGTAATGACAGAGGTGGATAATTTAGATGCAAAATTAGAGGGTTACTTTATGTATTTTTCATAATGGCAGAGGTGGGTAATTTTTTAATAAATTACAATAGATCTAATGCTATTATGGGAGATGGTGATTATAGTCTATCAAATTAAATGCTAGATGTTTCTGATTATTGTAAGAATTTCTAGGATTTTTTTTTCTAGCGCGTCTGGTGAGAATTAACGTGGTGCCTCCGTTGGAGCCTCTAATCAGTAACAGTAAGATAAGATGGAATGGAAACTCGATTCTGGTTCTCTTCCGCACAGCAGACAGAGGTCGTCCTTCACTATTTTCCGTTTGAATTTGTTTCTCTGAGTGGGGAGTACATCCCAACAGAGCTTCCATTTTAATCTTTGGTGGAATATTACAGTCCTACCCCAATTCTTTTCTTCTCAACGATAGATTGCACAAGAGGTGCACAAACATCTAGTAATAATGCATACCTTGTTCCCAAGAAATTAATTACACACTCATGCGGCCTATCACATTTAGTTTCTTGTTTACTCAACCATTCATCCGATCTAGGGACATGTACAACCCACAGAGAATTCCCCACGGACAAGGTGTTGTTTGTAAGCTCTTGGGAATTTATATAGATAGATAGATAGTTTGTACCATGGGTCATATATTCGACTGCCCTCAAATTGTTTAATGCATGCATGAAACCATGGTCAAGTATGAACAAGATCTTTTTACATCATTTTGGTGCTTCTTGATACAAAAGAGATTACTTAGTTTTAAACTCTGAACTTGATGTTTTTGCGAGAGTGTGGACAGTGTGTCCCTTGGTTAGTGCTGTTCTTTTTTTTCTTTCTTTCTTTCTTTATTTTCGACCAGTAGCACCGAACCTGGCTGCTGCAAACTACTGTAATTGTCCTTCGTTAATGGACAGGGGGGAGATTCCTAGTAGAACTCTAAGATGGTTCATCTCCCCTCCGAAGAGAAGAATTGGGTGAATGTGAATTGCTACTGCCGCTGCTGCTGCTCTAGGATAGGCCATTTGAAGTAAATCATGCCTGGTTGTGGTTGATGAGTGGAGATGGCCGTATCAATCGTAGAGGCGGATGTAGTGCAAGCCGGCCATGCATGGCATGGATGAACATCTCATCTTCATCTTCTCAACATGCTGAATGCATACATTCTGACTGTTTTGTCTTTGAGAGAGAGAAAGGTTCTGGTCTTGCGTGTGGACTGAAACTACGAGATGGCCTGGCCCAGGAGCAGAAACATCTAAAAGCCCATGGGAAGATAAGAAAGAAGGGCCGCCGCCGGAGTAGCAGCCCAGTAGCAATCATCACGCGCCGCCCTCCGCTCGCCGCCGCCGCCGCCGCCGTCACGCACTCGCCCACCAGTCACCGTCGCCGGCGCCCGCTCAATCCCACGCGCCTGCGCCTCAACCGCTCCACGCTTGTCGGCTCACCAATCGCAAGGCCCGCCCGTCGCTGCCTGCGGCTGCTGGCGGCCGGAGATGGACGGGGATGAGGAGAACATCGGGCCGTTCCGCCGGACGAGCGCCCGCACGCGCCGGATGGCCACGCGCATGGCATCAGCTCTCGCCAGCTCTGACAACCGCTCCCAGGTAACGATGGGATGCATTCTCACTTACATTAACCGCTTCACCATCCTAGGAGTAGACTGACTGCTCCTGCGTCTTCCCCCTTCCTTCCGATATACAGATACAGTGATGCGATTTTTCATAATACAATTGAGAGGAAGAGTGATTTTTCAGCAATAGCAGAGGTAGAGAAGGGTTCCAGTAGGTTCTAGAAGGGAGACGAATAAGGAGTTCATGAGAATCTGGAGGAGGAAGAAGATCAAGGACACGAGCTAGGAAGGGGCGGGATTTACGCTTTTGTTGTTTGATGATTGATAATCTTCAGATCCTCGGCAGCAGCCTTGCTTGGTTTTTGTATCACCATCGCCTCTAGTCTGCTAAGTGCTAACCCAGTATGGTTTAGAGGGCCTCTGGACCAGGTATATGACAGCGTTGAAGTTGAAGTTGACAATGAAAATGCTCCAATTTATGTTTAGGGGATATATTACAGAACCCATTTTAAGGGATTGGCCTTATTATAGTTTCGCTTTTTTTTAGAGCAAAGGATCAGCCTTATAGACAAGAAGTTTTGGTAATACATGCTCTAGAAGACTCTATAGCCAAAGAGTTCTATCTTGAATTTATACTGCTTATTATTAGAGTTTTATCTTAACTTTTGCACTGTGTGTCTTCCTCTGTTATTTTGGAAAATTCACTGTCTAGGTTGGAGTCTTGCCTTGTTGTTTCTGATCCAAACTTGCACATTTTGTAATTTTAAACAAACGCTCTGGTTTCTAATCAAAACAGAATATGTGCCCTTAGCTCAGTAACTGTAGACTCTACTAACATACTGTCTCAAGTGCTAAGCATTTCCATCGTCACGATGTATGTCTGCTTCCAGATCCTCTTTCCCTGACATTCTCATCCTGTCATTCTGTAGTTCATCTCTGACTGATAAGTTATGAAGAACTCAAGGTTACTGATCTGTCACTGTGCCTGAAATAATACCCTGTATGCTTTGTTTCCCTGTTGCGAGCATATCCATTTCTGTAATTCCATGCAGGCTGCATTAGCTCGCCTTGAAGCTCTTGAGAGTGATAATGCTGGGGTTGAGGTGGTAGAGCTTAATGATGATGAGTATGGATCCACAGATGAGGAAGACCTGGGTCAGTTTCTTTCTCATTTGTCTTCATACCAATGCCAAAAGGATAATGCTGATACAGTATGCAGAGACTCGCTGAGAATTTACTATTGAACAAATCAATCTTTGCAAATGGCAAATACTCAAACACAGGATGGTTATGTATGATATTTCTTTTTGTTGCTTGTAGTATCAATTTTGCAGAATAAACAACATTCTTCTTCTTTTTTTCCTTGCAAAGGAATCTATAAATAAGATTAAAATGTCCTTGAAAGACTATATTTAAAATATTTGTTCATTTCTAACAAATCTGGTACGAACACCATAAATTATTTGTAAGGTGACTGTGCTTGTAGTATATGGAATGCCCCTGAAGTCAGCTATTTAGATATCTTTTAGCTTTATGTGCTCTAGCTTCTCATCTGCAAAGCTTCATGGGTTTAGTGTTTCTAGAAATGCTGCATTTATGTACATTATATAGATCAGTGGACATGCATTCAATTCAAATGCTCTACACATGGATAATAGAAGTTTTGATGTAGTCATCTTTTGTTTTCCTGATTTTGTTTCTACAGTTCTCATGCAGAAGAAGCAGTCCAGGATTATGAAACGCAAGACAAGGCAAGGGAAATCTTTGGAAAAGAGGACAGCAAGGTCATTCATGGATGTCTTACAAGAAGTAAGTAACCTTGTGCTATAAGTTTCTTTCTCGTCATGTTTATTTATTTTCTAAGGAGGGTACTTAAAAGATTTTCACTCTGGAACTGTGACAGGCAAATCTGGAATCCCTACCTCCTCATGTCCCAACATATTTGAGGGCTGCTGTGGGTCCACCAAGCACTTCATCTCGACGGCACTACTGCTCAGTCTGTGGTAGTTCTGCAAACTATACATGCGTGAGGTGTGGAACACGGTTCTGTTCTTGCCGCTGTCAAGTCATACACAATGATACACGCTGCCTGAAATTTGTGGCTTGACCAACTAGATATACAAGCTACATTTCATGTATGTGCACACCCATATGATTGTTCATCCGTGGTTTGATCAGTAGGATATACTTGCTATGTATGTTTTGTACTCTGTATGGTGGGGTAGGTAAGTGGTAGGAAACTGGTTTCATTAGCTATGTTTAGCAGTTGAAATTTCTAGGTTGTAGGACAGCCACTTTTTCGTCAGAAAACAGAAATATTATGTGAGTTGCTGTGTTTATGCTTGGTTTAGCCTGATTTTCCATAATTTGCTATTTGTTGTCCTGATCTCATAATATTTTAACCGCCACCTCCTTTGTTCCACCCATGGAAATCATTTCTCAGATATTTTTATGCTCCGGTGAAACGTCTCACTGTGCCAATAAAGCGCCTTTGCTAGCTGTGTATGTTTTGTACTCTGTAGGAGTGGGTAGGTAAGGTAAGTGATAGAAAACCATTTTCTCCAGCAGTGCACTGCAGTTGCAAGGTATATCTCTTGTATACCAACCAATTTTTCTTTAGAAATGGTATGCAAGTAGCTGCAGTTATGCAGTAGAGCTGAAAGTAGCTCTTTGTTTCAGTATATCCGTAGTAATTTTACATTGTTTCTTGGTGAATCAAATGTGAGCATACTCTGGTAGTAGATGTGAGTTGGTATGTAAATAACCAATTAATTAGTGTAAGGTAAACAAATGCTATGCTAATGCTTGGACCCATCTAGCAAAGTGGCAGAAATGAATAGCACATGGGTTGTCAAACAAGGAATTGATATTCCTAGTGTTTGGCCACACCCGTCACTATCAATGATACGATAAAGCTGGTATGATCTGAATAATATAATATCGAAAATTTTCCTACTATAAATTTCTTTTTGAGCTTTGCTCCTTGCTGCTTCAAATATGAGAACATCTTAATATCATCATAATTTGCTAAATCAAATGTAGACAACTAGAGTGCTAATAAATGGAAGTTCATAGATGTCCTGAGTAATCATAATAAAGCATGAAATTCAACCAAAATTTTACAACATCCTGAAAGGGCGAACACACACATTTAGAATATTTGATCTGTACCTTCTTGTATTGCGCTTAGCTTATAGTATCATTAATATTATATTGAGTATTGATATCCTGAATGCTCCGAATAATATCAAATGAAACATGTTCACAGTAAGTCAACGACATCATGGGATCTGGTGCATGCTACAAATTAATAGAAACTCTGCCACAAAACAGCACATCATGTGAATAGTAGTGCAATACCAACACTAAGCAAGAGCATATTGTGGATGATTTTCACCAAGTGGCACAGCAATGTCACCTCCCTTTGGAAAGATCGGTTATAACAGTCACTGGACATGACATGACATGCTGATCGTGCATTTCATCTTCAACCAAACCAATGTTCAGCAAACTGTTGGGTTCCAAGTCTAATGGGAGATGTGCATCCCTTTGCAGGTACTGCATGACAAGGCGCATGCAAGGCCTTGCATTTGGTGAGGCAGAGCAAGCCAAGCTTCAGGACTAGCTCGATCTCCTCCTCCACATAATCATCTAGTCTTGGATCAACGGCGTCGGTTATGGAACCACCTTGCCATGCAGAAAGCACCCAGTCTGCTAGAGCAAGAGGCTGTCCATTGTTTGTGTTCACCCAGATTGGTCGTTTTCGACAAGTGACCTCCATCATCAGCACACCAAGGGCAAATACATCAGTTGCTTTGGTGGCCTTGCCAAGTCGGGCCAGCTCAGAGGCAATGTAACCCCATGTACCTGCCACACGTATGGTGTGAGCGTCAGCTCCATGATCATGCGACCTTGCGATGCCAAAATCACCCAACCTTGCATTCATCTGACTGTCAAGAAGGACGTTGCTAGTCTTAATATCCCGGTGGATGACAACCTGTTCCCAGTCCTCGTGGAGGTAGAAGAGACCAGATGCAATACCTTTGATGATGTGGAACCTTTGAGACCAACACAGATAGGTGCTGCTATGATCTTGAGTATGCAAGTAGCAGTCAAGGCTTCCATTGGGCATATAGTCGTACACCAGAAGGAGCTGTTGCTTGTGCCTGCAGTAGCCAATCAACTGGACAAGATTGCGGTGCTGGAGGTGGCCAAGGATGAGGATCTCAGCCATGAATTCCTTCATCCCTTGTTTCGACTCTGGTGACACCCGCTTGATAGCAACCGTCTGCTTGGAATGGTGAAGCACCCCTCTGATGACACTCCCAAAGCCTCCTTTACCCAGAAGCATCTTGTCCTTGAATCCACCAGTGGTAGCCAATAGATCTCTGTAGGTGAAGGATGGAGGCCCATACTCCCTCTCCCACTCAAGTTGAGCTGTTCTAGATTTTGACCTCCTCTTCATATGGACCATCAGGAGAGCAGAAGAAACAACTATGACAATTCCAAGGACTGGTAAAAGAATTGCACATAATATTGTCTTGTTGCTGCGCGGGCGTGGGTAAATCTTCGCCAGGAGTTGTGGGGTAGTAGTATTCAAAGACAGGAGGGAGTAATTGAGTGCTGCAGCTTCTCCGTTGAGTTTGAACTTTGAAGCTCCAACCCAGAACGTAATGCTTGCTGCGAATTAACAAATCATTCGCGGAAGAGAATCCGGCAAAGACTAGCGTGGTTGGCAAAACTGATGATGGATCGTATACTACTGATAGCAGTGGCTTGCTGGGTTTGGACGACGGGCAGCAAGGCGCCATAGTGACATTTAGCATGGTTCGCCTGCCATCATAGTCCACCCACACCTGCATCGGTTCCCTACTGACGAGGCTCAAGTTACGAAACACACCATCACTGTCATAGTAACCTGCGGTATGGGAGGCAACTGAAATCAGGCTGTTTACGTCAATCTCTATGTTGTTGGAGTCGATGTCTCTGAACTCCATGTTGATTACGGTATCAAGCTCGATAGCAAGGAGATGATTCGTTGCGTTACCATTATTCGAGGGATTGAGAAGGCCAAGAAACTGGTCAGGATAGGCGCTAGACAGATTCGTGGAGGAACAAAGCACAATTGCACAATCATTCTCATGGTGTCCAGCGTCCACACGATCATTTTCACCAACACGGAAAGTAATTTCGGGAATCTGAAGTAGGAGAAGGGGATTTGGGGAAATCAGGGGAGAAAGAGGACAAGGCAGAGGCGATTTGGGGATGAAGACAGGTTCAATTCCAGATATTTCAGTCATGTCCGATACCCTCTTCAACCTGATGCCTCGCGTTATATACTCGCGAGAGCATACCAGAACAACAAGCAATGCGTAATGGGCTGAGGGCCCAGAACGACTGCCCAAGGCCGGAGCAACGGAGACCTCACACCAGAATCCACATCACGTGATTACCCATGCGCTACGGAGCTACGCTAGAGCGGACATTCACCCCAGTTCTTTTCTTCTCACCGGTGGATTGCAGGAGAGGTGCACAAACATCTGGTACTAGTTCCTTGTCCCCACTAAGACCTTGTTTGGATGTAGTCGGTCACATCGATCCACATGTGTTGGGTGGATTGGAGTGGAACATGAACTTATCAGCCGGCTTATCAGCTAGAATCTACAATATTTTTCTTTCGCAACAAATCAGCTTCAGCCGGCTTTAATATCAGCCGAACAGACCTTAAATTCCACCCCAACACATGTGGATTGAGGTGAATCCGATAATATTCAAACAAGGCAAATTAATTACACACTCATGCTTCTTGACCTTTTTTGTCTCTTAATTAAAGTGTTGTACTCCCTCTCTTAGTTTACTTTTAATAATTTTTTCAGTAGGGGATCACACCCCTCTTATTTCCTCAAAATTTAATTCAGTTTTGTCAATCCCCTATACTAGATTTTAAGGGAACGCTAGAGGGGATTTGACAGAGATGCTCTTACTATGTAAAAAAAGTGAGGGGATTTGGCAGAGATGCTCTCTTACTATGTAAAAAATGAGATTACCTTGGTATGGTAGCATTAAAAAATTAATTTTATACATCAAATATACGAAACTAGATTGCTAACAAATGGTAGTTCTTTAATATGAGGAGCACCATCATGAAACGACAGAGGCTACCCAAGCTATGAAAACAAGATCATCTGATTTCCTAAAACCGGGTCATCTTGTTTTGGAGTGATGGCCTTTCGAAGCTCCACGCCAGTTTTATAAATAATCGAGCATTTTTTTTTGACAATCAGATTTGAATCAGATTTAAGCATAATTCGTAATGTATTTGGACTTCAGCATGAAAAGACCTTTCATCCTATAAATATAAAGGGTCATAGCCGATTAATGCATCAACATTTCATCTGAAAATATTACCTGTTCCTTCTCTACCTTTTATGCATTTTTGTCCCCTTAAACCCTACTTTTCCAACCATACGTAATGTTTTTCTCTTGGTTTCTTGACATGAGGTGGCTCCCTAACTGGCTTTCTGACACTATGCTTTGACTCTAATTTAATGTCTATTATACTATAATAATGTATTTTCAAATGTGAATCCAGTGCTTAAAATTTATGTATTCGTATTATATGGGGCTAATCGTTCACTATGGGATACAGTAGTTTTGCCGAGTGCTAGGGGCACTCGGCAAAGTCCCAAAAACACTCGGCAACTGCTTTGCCGAGTGTAACACTCGGCATACAACACACGGCATCTGTGTGTCGGCAAACAGTAGTTTGCCGAGTGTTTTTTATCGCGCACTCGGTAAATAGTTTGCCGAGTGTCAATAAACACTCGGCAAAAAATGTTGACGGGATGGCACGGTGACGGTGATTTTGCCGAGTGCACGGCGGAAAAACACTCGGCAAAGTTTTTCAAGTTTGCCGAGTGTCAAGCCCAAAACACTCGGCAAAGTTTGTAAACTTTGCCGAGTGTCAATTCTAAAACACTCGGTAACGTTTATAAAGTTTGCCGAGTGTCAAGACCAAAACACTCGGTAACGTTTCTAAAGTTTGCTTGAGTGTCAAGACCAAAGCACTCGGCAAAGTTTACACACTTTGCCGAGTGTCACGCCCAATACACTCGGTAAACAAGCGCGCAACGAGCAGATTTTATGGTCACTTTGCCGAGTGTCCATTAGAATATACTCGGCAAAGACAAAACACTCGGCAAAAATGGTTCCCAGAATAATAGAAATTGGTCTCTTCGCCGAGTGTTTTGGCTTGACACTCGGTAACGCCTCGCTTTGCCGAGTGTTACACTCGGCAAAGCGACCAATACCCCTTTTTTTACTAATTTGTCCCGTATGACGAACCCCTCTCAATTCACAATAAACCATCACAATTCACAATAAAGCATCATCACAAACATAATTATATGTCACAGGCATAATTGTATGTCACAGGCATAATAAACCATCATCACAATTCACAATAAACCATCATCACAAATCACAACTAAGTCACAATAAGCCACAAATGCAAATGCAATCACTGCGGAGGCCCTTGGAACCACTGCGACAAATCCGGGTCTTGAGACTGATTATTTGATGCCGTCGATTGATTCTGCACAAAAGAGAAGAGATTGCATGACAGTTAGAAAAAAAGAAACTAATAGCTTACTGCTAGTACAGTGGACAATTGGACATAAATGTAAAACTAGATCTGTAGAAAAACAATCGAGCACAATTGATCAAAAATCGATGCCACAACCATTATATTACAAGTACCTATAGCTAGCTAGCTAGTAGCATTACCATTCACCACTCACGGTTGCTATGTTGATGCACCCACTGAGATCAGTCACAATGTCACATATATATATTGTAAATAAATGAAAATCTGTGCTAGTTCATAAATAAAAGTGCTACATGCATCATCTCTGTTACACTACATGAATTAATGACGGGAGAAAGTAGAACAAAACACTACATGCGTGCTGCACTCCTTTTACAGAAAATGCATATGTGGCTTCATTGCATGCCATAGATTCTTAATGAAAAGGGCACACACATCTTTACAGGTGTGCCTTTTGATTATTAGTGTA